GCAATGAATGGCTGCACATGCCTTCTGCCCTTCAACGCCCCCCTGAGGTCCTGATGTAGATGCGAGAACCAAGTGGTGTAGTAGGATGGTTCCGTGGGAGTGTGGCTCGTTCAGCATGAGCAGAGGCAAGAATCTGTTCATGTAACTTTACCTAAAATCACTCAAACACAGGATCAATTGCCAGGAGTAGCCGATCTAGATGGCTATGTGGCTGTGGAGATGTGTCCATGGCCAGAGGCCTCAGCAGGGTGGTCATTTTGATGATTAGGGCCCCAACACTCCGAGTCGCTGATCAGCTGTATATTTTGGAAGGGTGACCACCTTGAGCTACCAGTGGCGACCAGGATATCCCCCACCAGTCCATGGGGGAGGGAAAAGGCACCAGAGTAGCAGGCTCCAGGCTAAGGCAGAGGATTGACCGCCTTCTTGTTCTGAAGCGAAGTAACAGGTTGTAGGGGGTCTAAGCTTTATGGTGCCAGCTAATTGGTAGTGCGATCCCCATGGAGGTGAGTGAGATTTAGCCACAAAAGCTTGACAAAGATAAATTTTTAAGCAATATAACATTTCTCGGAGGAGCTTCAGCACCATGAGACCATCTCACTCGGCTATTAGGCTTAGCCCTCAGCCTTTTCTTTTGCTCCATCATATCTTCCACTTGTGTTTTATTGTGAAGCCAGTGACAGGTGTTCTGAAGCAATTACCTTTTGTGTTTGTCTGTGTATATTGTTCGTCCTCCACCTGTACAGTGCTGCAGATTCTGTTGGCGCTTTATAAATACCAGTAATAAATAAATCAGTATTGTCAATATCTCAATTATAGGCCATCTAAGATTATGAATGATAGTGTGCAATTGATCGCTTTTTATCCATAAGCTGGAGAAAATGAGAACAAATTGCTCACATTGGGTCACCCATTGTAACATAATATAGTTCATATTCCCCTAAACATATGCTTTTTCATACATATTATATATTAGCAGGCGGCATTCTCCGTCATCCCTTGGGCAACCTGAATTCCTCATAAAAATAATTCAAGAAGATGCTGAGATTTGTCTTCAGGGATTTTGATTTACATAGTCACATAGTTACATAGCTGAAAAGAGCCATGCGTCCATGAGTTTTGCTGTTGATCCAAAAGGAGGCAAAAAACCCAGTCTGAAATGCTTCCAATTAGGAAACAAACTAGGTATTTATGGTGCCTTGCTCGCATTATACAGTTTGCTGGCTATATATTTTTATGACAAACCATTAATACTTGTGTCTGAAAATGGGTGCACCACCGACAATACCAATTGATTTCACCATCAAATAATCAACGTAGTGAGGCATTTCTTATTTTCCCAGGGATGTTGCTTATATGGGACTTTGCGCAGTGGTCTCAACCCTAGAGCTCCCACAAATACACAGGCAATGTGTGGCATGCCCACTCCCCAACTAGCTCAATTGCACAATAGCCAAACTTGTACAGCTGAGCTGACTTACACACCAAGCCAAATATTAGCTAGCTGTCAATGCATTGTTTTGGCTGTTTAAGAAATGAGTCAGAAATGTGCCCATTGCTGTCCCAGGTTTAACTACAAGTTTCTATTTTCGCCTTTTATCTTGGAGAAATGGAATATTGACTATTAGGTGGTGAAGAATGTCATCAAGACCATCCAGAACCCCCAGATCCATTTTTAATTAAAAAAAAAGAACAATTAAGAATCTTGATGTTCTAATTGTAGTATTAAAACATAAATATGGGTGCTTTCATTTTACTTTATTTTCAGAGTGTACGCTCTTTAAGAGCACTCACATTATTTTCGACACATTTTATCTGATGTAGAAATATTCCTTATTTTGGAAGACCTTCTGAACTTAAAAGCAATAGGATATAGCATATGATTTGGCAATACATGTAATACAAAACAATTAGGCAATGTTATAACCTTTTTAAATGTTTGGCTATTGTCCCTTATTTTTTTCCATTCCTTACCCGTTGAGCAAATCTGCCAGGTCATTCCTGTGCTGAAATTGAGCAAAAAACTTTGCAAACTGCCAGTAAATTTTTGAAGCATAGAACTCTTATTTGGCTTCTTTTCTAGCCTAGCACACTACAATCAACATTAGAAAGTGGTTAGACTTCTAGAACACAATACAAAATGAGCATTATCTCTTTTCTGCTACATGTCATTCTTGCACCAAACAGACTCGCTCGTCGCAGAGACAAGCTCCCTAGTGTTCAGTGTGTAGACTAAATGAATCTGTCAGTTAAGATGATACACATGCTGTGACACAATCGTCTCTCCATAAGCTCAAGATAGCTGACAGCTAATTCAGTCAGTCCGCCACTCCCTAGCTGTACAAATGATCCTCAGTAGGATTTCTTACAGTATTTTCTATGGAAAAGGTTGCCAAGAGAATTAAAAGATTGGCCTGTCTTCTTCTGAATGATCCCCAAGGTATAAAATCAAGTGGACCGTCTATCAATACTATAATCTGTTTTACATAAACACAATAAGGTATGCAATAGACATGCTTTTTGTGTTTTTTTTCCATCAAAGTGATATATCACTTGTAAGCGTAATTGCTTTCATTAGAGGTATGGCCTACCCACCAGTTTTTAATAATAGAAAAAAAAAACAAGAGTTGTGGGTGCTGACAACTATTCATGAAAGAAACCCGACACTTGTGGCTTTTGCGAGTTTGGTCAGCATGGTTTTCAGTTTCTGAAATAAAGGTGAACATTATAAGTGTATACATAGGCTGGCTTTCTTTCCCACCATGTCCGGTGATTGAACGAAGCTTTAACAAAAGTTCAATAACTGGACAGGCACTCGCCTTAGCTGGTATTTTGGAGCTCCCGTCTCCTCCTTAAACAACTGAAGAACTTGAAAAGAAGTGCTCTGAATTGTGGATAATTAAAAACAGATTTGAAAAGTTAGGCCAAAATAGAAGATTTTAAATATGCTCCAACTCCACTATAGTCATAGTCTGGCACTAATAGTCTGAATTTTAAAAGACCAATTTCAATTCCCAGCAATTCGCTGTTTAGTGAATACATTCTTAAGTGTAAGAAAGTAAAGCAAGTTATTTTAATATAATTTTCATCCCATCACTCCCAACGACATGCAGAGCAATGCAAATATAATTCTGGCCACAAATACCATTTTCCCTTCCTCTTTGTTACTGTGACCAAACTGTGATCAAATTGCAGATTTCACACTACAAATTTCTCTGAGAGGACTCCATTCTTTACATAGGAGACTGTTAACGGAACACCGTCAAGGTTCTTCCTGGGTCAGCTAAATGCTCCTCATAGAGATGCACTGATTCAATGCATTTCTATGTGAAGATGCTGATTGGTGCAGTGCAGTGTTTTGCCACACATGTGCAATAGCTTCCTGTATTGGCTGAGATAATCAAAACTGATGATCTCAGCCAAGGAGGAGCAGCATGGGCTGGGCCAGATACAACAAGACTTGGGTGATGTTGGAAAAAGGTGAGCAAACTACCCTTTTCACAGAGGGCAAGGGGGCCGGAACCTAAATGGATTTTTCACACCTACACCTATTTTTGACAAACGTGTATTCCTGACACTATAGTGATCCTTTAATACTAGCAGTCAGGGACCTGAGTAAGGAGGCACACTTAAAAGACCACTATAGGCAACCAGACCACTTCAGCTTAATGAAGTGGTCTGGGTGCCAGGTCCATCTAGGATTAACCCTGCAGCTGTAAACATAGGAGTTTCAGAGAAACTGCTATGTTTACATATGGGTTAATCCAGCCTCTAGTGGATGTCTCATTTACAGCCGCTAGAGGCACTTCCGCGCTTCTCACTGTGATAAGACACCAGCGTCCATAGGAAAGCATTGAGAATTCTTTCCTATGGACTGACTGAATGCGCGCGTGGATGCGCATTCAGTTAGTGACGTCCGAAGGAGGAGGAGAGTCCCCAGCGCCAAGGGAGCCTGGTGCTGGAAAAAGGTGAGTGTTTAACCCCCTTCCTCCAACTTCAGCCCGCGGGAGGGGGGCCATGAGGGTGGGGGCACCCTCAGGGCACTATAGTGGCAGGAAAACTAGTTTGTTTTCCTGGCACTATAGTGGTCCTTTAACACACTGAGCATATCACAGGATTCACAATCAGATTGCAACACCTTGTATTGTACAGATGTTTTTTTGTAACTATACTTATTGTATGCACACATATAGAAATAATTTTTACATTCTGGTGGTATTTTCAGCAGTTTCCATATTTATAAGTGCCATCAGGTTCTTTACAAACACCAGCTATAAAAGTATCTGTTTTTTATTACACCTTCTCTATGCGACAAAAAGGGCATTTTTGCTTCTATGGCCTTATTTCAGATTCAGCGTAATATATTGCAAGATTAGGGATATCATATAGTCTCTAAAACTCTACAAAAAGATACATTGTAAATTGTGTGATCTCACACAGTTCTCCCAGCGTCTCTTCCACTGTTCAAAACACTCTGTAAATTCTTTTGTTTCAATCGCCATCAGCTGCCTTGTCGTATTTACCTGAGTCTCATTGATGATCTGTAATCTCTTCTCTTTCAAAGGTGGTTTTAGTTTTTGAAGAAGCCAGAAGTCGAAGGGCGACAAATCGTTCAACAGATTCTTGACCATCTTTGAAGCATTTGTGCCACACTTTTATTTGTGCTACACTCATTGCATTGTCCCCAGAAGGCTTCTGAATCATCCGAATTGTTTCTACTTAAAAATGTTCAAGCTTAAAGGAACACTATTGTCACCTAAATTACTTTAGCTAAATAAAGCAGTTTTAGTGTATAGATCATTCCCCTGCAATTTCACAGCTCAATTCACTGTCATTTAGGAGTTAAATCACTTTGTTTCTGTTTATGCAGCCCTAGCCACACCTCCCCTGGCTATGATTGACAGAGCCTGCATGAAAAAAAAACTGGTTTCACTTTCAAACAGATGTAATTTACTTTAAACAATTGTATCTCAATCTCTAAATTCAACTTTAATCACATACAGGAGGCTCTTGCAGGGTCTAGCAAGCTATTAACATAGCAGGGGATAAGAAAATCTTAATTAAACAGAACTTGCAATAAAGAAAGCCTGAATAGGGCTCTCTTTACAGGAAGTGTTTATGGAAGGCTGTGCAAGTCACATGCAGGGAGGTGTGACTAGGGTTCATAAACAAAGGGATTTAACTCCTAAATGGCAGAGGATTGAGCAGTGAGGCTGCAGGGGCATGTTCTATACACCAAAACTGCTTCATTAAGCTAACGCTGTTCAGGTGACTATAGTGTCCCTTTAACGGAAAATTTGATGCAGATTTGTTGCTCTAGTCGCTCATTCATTTTGAATGCAATGGCCACATAGTACACAGGCTCACTCAACAAAGTCTTGCGCCCCCACTGACTAGTACAGTGAAGTCTTAATTATTAATGCATGCCCATTCCAGTCCACTCTCCTTTGCCACCAGTTACATCGATGTCGAGCAAATCGTTCTCGTTAACAATGGCTGGACTTTTTCCGGTCAGAAAATGCCACAAGGTTCTTTAGAAATACCCATAAGCTTTTAACTTTTTTCATTACATGTATCAAGTGTATTGATTTCTGATACTTTATATCCCTCAATATTTCTACATAAGGATAAGGAAATAAACGGTTAAATTTCGATAACTTTGCAAAATCTTTTTAGGTACCATTGGACCACAGTCTTTACATGGAAATGCTTTATAAACCTAAATTTATTTTCTATCTCTTCATTTCTTTTTACAAATAAAGGTTACACTTAATTTAACCCTTTAAGGACCAAACGTCTGGAATAAAAGGGAATCATGACATATCAGACATGTCATGTGTCCTTAAGGGGTTAAAGAAATTGCACTTGGCATCGATAGGGGTTAATCCAATAGAAATGCAACTGACCAGCAACATTAATATCAGGAAACAGGGATCTTCCTATAATAATAGGAAAAACAGTAGCACAGAAACAAAATAAACTACTAGCTAATCTAAAAGAGGCTTACATTTAGAGTTTGGCACATATCTGTGAGCTTGGAATCTGGCTGTGCATCATGGGAAATATTATTCAAATATCTTGGGTGTCGAGATTAGCCAACATTATCTTCTATGCATGCGTTACACATCACTGTGAATATGCATGTTTTTAAGGATATTCTACTGTGTAAATCATTAAAACAATTCCACAAACATTTAGAAATGACTTGAAATGTTGCATGCTGCATAGCAAACACTCCAACATTTACTGCAAAAATAAATACATAAATAATGTATAAGTGTGAAAATCTGGATGTTCTATATATATATATAAAAATCGTATGGCTTAATTGCTGCTGAAAGTGACATCATATGTATGTTTCAGGTTTAAGAAAATGTGCTTTAGGTCGGACACGAATGTTAACATTTGTGCATCGATAAGACGGGACTATTTTAGGATGATGTTGATTATGTAATTCTCCCACCGGTTCCAACACGGTTTGGTTACTATAACAGCAATTTGAAAAAACAGCCCATATTTGCTTTTAAGAGCTGATTTTTGTTATGTAGCCGAGTAGAAAATCTTTGGTGAAGTCACTTCCTGCATTTATTGCACTGGGTAAAACTGGTCACTGTCATTTGCCGTCTGTTAACCCGTGCAAACCTGATGTGTGTTGCTAGGCAGCGGAATTCAGGGACTTTTAACACTGAATTTAATTGGTTTAATACATCCGTTCCAGAGCTGATCATCGCCCCACCCAACACTTATTTAAAACATTCATATCACAATTTTCCAATGAAATATCCCTGCAGTGGTGTGAGTCACCATTGAAAACATTCCAGATAGGGGAATAATTAAACCATTACTTAAATTGATGTAATGGTATTTTAAAGAATAAGTTTATAGACATTGGGTGATGGTTTGGCAGTTAATGTAACCCCAATATCACTTTACAGGCTTGACCACCACTGAAGTGTACCCCAGGAGACAGAGTACACTGGTATTCAGCATTTTTAATGCCTGTAATGATAAATTATAAGAGTGTGGTTTTAACAGCATTTGTTTGAATTTTGGATGGCGATTGGGGTGGTGGGCTGGAGATTTCCTGAAAGAGGTCCTGAACTTTAAAGATTAACCTCTAATTTACTCTGTTTAATATTTCCTTCAAAGATACATTATTATACTGTCTATTGCCATCTAACAGAGGAATGAAAGTGCCAAAAACAAACTTTAACTCTTCCAATCCTATTTACATTGTAAAACATTAAAATGTAGAGTCTGTCGTGCTTTACGATGACAGTTTTAAAAGGGCCTGTTTACATTACCTCGTGCCATGTGGTTCATTTACTATTATTATTGTCAGTGGTGTTTAGGGGTTAATAAAGACATAATTTGGTATATGTCAGTTTCAGTTAAATAACATATCTATTGCTAGTTGTGATGATGTAGAAAGTGAATTAACCCTGTGTTATTCATTAAATTGTGCTTTGTAGTGTTTTGGCCAAAAAAATGAAATGACGCAAAATGCACCAATTTAACTCTCCACAAATTTCTGTTTAATGAATACAACCCTTTGTGTTACAAAAATTGGTGACAAATGATTGGCTCTGAAATACAGAAATATCTCTTTTGACACAAGTTTAGATATTGCTGTTTGGTAATGTCATCATAGAAGATGATTTATTTTCGAACTTTTAATCCTGCATCATTACAGCGGCTGTTATCCTAAAAAGCTGTGTCACTGAGCCGTTTATCTGGTAAGCTGGGACTCTTACTAGATCTGGAACATTGATAGACCTTCACACTTGGATAGGCCTGAGGTGCGTTTGTGCAAAACCAGATTGTTTTCGTTAGCATAACCAGTGAACTTACTCTTCTACCTGGATGTCTGGGAAAATTGCCAAAAGATTTTTCAACATTTCAATCAGAGGCAGAGTCTATAAAGCTGTCAGTTTCCTTGTAGGTCAATTTATACGTACAATGGTTCTGGCGTTTGTGTTCATTTAAAAAAGAATCAGCACGTGTTGCACGGCGTAATATTTCATATTATGCTTTAAAGAAGAAGAATTACTTCGGAATATCTAATCATTTTGCTATATTTTATGACTTCTATGCTAGAAAAATTGTGAAAGCAGTCGAACGTTTCCATTCATGCTCGCAAATGTATTTCAGAAAAGCTCTACATCACACTCGGAGATTTGCGCAGTGCTTAATATAAACAACCTTGCATTTGATATCCTTATTGAAAATGTGTTTATGGACCATTAAACACTAAAATATTTTATACTGATAGATGAAAGTCGACAAATATGTGTCATAATATAAAAACTAGAAAACACACAATTTTTTTTTAAAAAGTGCATAAACGTATTATCTGCTTTTCACTATGACTCATGGAAGAAATTGCATGAAGTGGATTGAGTATCACCTAGAAAATCCTTTTCAGTGCGCACAGAAAAAAGGTCTCTGTTAAAAATTTCAAAAATTCAGCAGATTTTAAGGTATTTTAAATACCAAAAGTAAAAACTGATCTTAAAAAAGTATTATTTTATGGCGATTTAGAAGCAGAGTATTTTTGTATAGGATTATAGAGTCAGATTCACAAAGGTATATAAATAATATGTATATCGACTGGCTGAATAGAATGCCTTGAGGATCGCGCCCCCACTCCCTCCACTCCCTTCCGGTGCAGGCAGTTCCCCTGTGACTAGTCTGGCTCTTCTGGGCAATTGTGATCATGATGACATCGTGATCACATGGCCAGATTGGCTTTCCACAGTACTGCATGCAGGGGAACTATTAATATCCAAACACACTTAAAATTACATTATATATATAATTATAATATATAAAATGATAAAACAGTATATGTATATTTATATGTGTAATTTCGGTCTAACTGTATTTTGACATTAATATAAATATAATATTAAAATACACTTAGAATAAAATGTTATATATCATCTATCTATCTATCTATCTATCTATCTATCTATCAATCTATCTATCAATAAAAATAATAATAAAGTATATGTAATATTTATTTATGTAATCTTTTTACATAATTGACTGATTTTATTATTTACAAATTGAGGGACCTGACAGACAACCCAGGCAGCAAGTCCAGATAATTTAATTTGCAAGCCCTGTATTTAACCCTGTAACTTTCCAAAACACCATAAAACCTGTACATGGGGGTACTATTGTACTTGGAAGACTTTGCTGAATAAAAGTAAAATGTATCACGAAAATTATACCATCACTGAAAGTGCCACTTGTGTGTGAAAAATGCAAAAAAAAAAGCAAATATGAATGCTAAATTTTGGCCAGTGTGTAGAACCAAGTGGCTACTAAACAAAACTGAACATACGCCATTTTGAATACCCTGGATTGTCTAATTTTGCAAATGGTATGCCATGAGGGGGTTAATTTTCATTCCTGGCCTGCCAGATGATCTCAGGGTCAACATAGGCCCAGCAAATCAATCTGGCAAATTTCAATGTGTAAAAACTGAAAAGGAGGAAAGCCCTCTATATAACTTTACATTACATGTAGTGTACTTGTGAAACATTGCTGAACACACTACGTGTATTTTAATGCGGTGAGAGCTAACAGTATTATGAGACTCACAGTTAAAAATGCCACGAAGAACTAAAAAAATAAGATTTCTTAATTTTTGGATTATAGTCATATATAATTATGTTTCATATATACATATTTGATGTTAAATGAAAGCTCTGTTTCTCCTGAACAAAAAGAGGTAAATTATACAGACATACAGTCATATTCCAGGTTTTGCTTTGATTTGATCAGAACAATTGCCTCCGTCCTTAAGGAGTTGAACACGTTTCCCTGACCTATAAAGCCCCCCACAAGCTCTCTCTTATCTCTCTTATGTCCCTACCCACATTAGTAAATTGGTCTACTTGGTCTTTCCTGACCTAAAACTCTCCCACCGTTCCTATTATACTAGATCTCTCGATTTCTACATTACAGGGATTTTCAGCAACTGAGCTATTTATCTGGAACCTTCTTTGAACTCAACTTCAAAACCCTCCCACTCATTTTCCCAGAGCACCTCAGATCTAACCAACAAATAGCTCTCATTTTCCCCCATTGTAAACTCTACCACACACTCTAGACATATCCATGTCAACATATTTCACTTATCTTGCTCGCAGCTTGGCCCTCTAAACCTAATATATTGCTTTGTTTTAGTCTGCTGACACAA